AACGTCGATGAAGTTGACCTGAACCACGTTTAGAATCTGTGTCATTATTTTCATCATCAGATAAATCATGAAAATCAATTATATCTTCATTTATATATAATTTTCGAGCATAAACACGTTGATATCGATCAACAAGAATTGATACAAGCATACCAATTGTTGTAGCACCACATAATCCACATAAACATGCTATTACTCGTCCAGCTGGTGTGATAGGTGTTATATCACCATATCTAAAAAGAATTTTTTTTTGTTTTTTAGAATCGAAAAGAAAAGTTTTTTTAATATTATTTTTACCCAACACCTGTAATTGTAATAATTCCCCAATAAGTTGCTTTAAGTATAGAATCAAATGCTTGACCATTTGTATCATTTTCAGCAAAATAAGCAACAGCACCCAAAAGAAAACTTAATAATGTTAAAATATTAATCATGACAAAAAAATCTGGTAGTGATTCTCGAATTGTTGCTACAAGTGCACGTACAGATTTGACACTTCGAACTGGACGATAAAATTTAAGAACACGTGCAAAACGAAGAATACGTAAAAAACGAAGACTATCAGCTGTTACTGTATTGATTGGACGATGTTGATCAGCTAAATAAATACCAAGTGTAATATAATATGGTACAATAGCTGCAATATCAATCCAATTCATTATAACTTTGACAAAATCAACAAATGATGGTGCACTTATTATGCGAAGAATAAGTTCAACTGTAAAAAATCCAACGCATACAGTTTGAATAATAAAAAAAGGTGATGCAAGATAATTACTACAGATAATTTCACTATTGTTCAAAACTTGTGTTGTTTCATTGGTATTATTTGAATTATTAACAGATGAATTATAACAAACAGATTGACCGAGATGTTTATATTGTGGTAATGATTCAATAGCAAGATCAATAGTTGAAATAAGAATCATAAGTAATGATAAAATATTAACAATTCTAGCTATAATTGAATAATCAGGATATTCCATAGTTGCCCATAAATGTCTTCGAAAACGACTTTTTGGTAAGCGTACTTTTCTAACTTCTTTAATATTTTCATCTTTTCGTAGTTGATTAAGAGCTTCCTGACCTAATTGAAAAAAATTAACTTCTTCAAGAAATATATCAATTGGAACATAATTTGGTCGTCTTAGTCGACCTTGTGATTGATAATAATAAAGTATTGCTTCAAAACATGATCGATTACGATCAAAAAAATATTCATTACGTGTTTTATCATAATAATG